ATGATGGTCTAGCTTCAATTGACCCATGATTTCAACTATAAAATTACTAAAATCTCCACAAAACCCCCTTCTGATAATTATGGATTAGATATAATATAAAATATATTAATAATTTACTTGAAAATTGTTCAAAAATGAACTTGTTATATGAGTGGTTAAGACGACTACGTGATATTGTTGATTAGGTGTAGTTGTAGGACTTCTTTAATTAACCAACTTCTGATTACTTTCAGAGAGTTTGTGTAGATTAATGAATTTCATAGTTTGCATCACGAACTGGTGTTACTTAATCATTTCAGTAAGAAGGCGATACAACGATGTTTGCACAGTTATAGCTCCGTTCAACTGTGTACATCCATGAAAAACCTTAGAATAGAACAAAAGACCTCCAGGCCAAGTGGTGAGCACTTGACCTTTAGACAACCTAGCCTGTGTGAATATCTATTTTCCATAAATTTATGATATTGGACAACCATTTACTAAGATCATTAGGAAGCTAATGCCTCATATCCTACATGTCTAAAGTTTATTTATCACCGTTTCTCATCGAAACTGCTGAGGAGCCTAAGACTAGGATGAAACACTAGAAAAATGCTTACTGGTTTTCACCAGTTATTTAATTAAGATCAGTTTGAGATGTAGGCTATGGCCAACTTGATGTTTACTGCTATTTACTTTTCATAATATTGCTGATCAACAAAATGTATTTATAGTCGTTGCGATAACCTTAGAGTTTTGAAGCAACTTCTAAGTCAATCAACAGTTAGTCTGTAATAGTCAAATGTATTTATTAACAGAAGTGATGAAACTTGTAACAACATAGTGACATTTAGAGTAATGGTCAGTTTATTAAAGCTGACAAAGAAGAATAATTCCTGAGCATACAGTACATTCTAAACAGTATACGAAAGTGTTTCTCCTGGACGTTTATGTTTAAATTTCATGCAAAACCTTAAAACGGCGTTTTATGGGAGAGGACAAACCGGCTTCCATCTGAAGAGGAATTTAGGGAAAGACGTTGGAAGTGGATAGGACATACATTAAGGAAATCACCAAAGTGCATTACAAGACAATCCCTAACTTGAGATCCGGAAGGAAAGCGGAAAAGAGGAAGGTCAAATAACATATTACTTTGGGAAATAGAAGCATATATGAAAAGGATGAATAACAACTGGAAATAACTGGAAGGGAAGGCTCAGGACAGAGTTGGATGGAGAATGCTGGTGAGAGGTCTATGCTCCTCGACGAGGGGTAACAGGCGTAAGTAAGTAAAACTTTAACTGATATAGTTTTATCAGTTATGTAAAGTGCGGTTCAGAAAGAAAAAACAGCCCACCAATATCTTAAATTATCCAACTTTATGATTTAACTTTGTTAAATAAATCCATTTTGTTATAGAACGTCTCTATGTGAACTGTGTTAATCAGAAGGGGTTTTGTGGAGATTTCAGTATTTTCATAGTTGGAGTCATGAGTCAATTGAAGCTAGACCACCATGGAAAACGTGGAAGCACTGGACAGCCGCTTCGTCCTATTGTAGGACTTCTCAGCAGTGCGCATCCACGATCCCACCTCACGAGATTCGAACCCCAGACCTATCATTGTGTGTTAATAATGTGCAGAGTAGAGTCAGGGAAATCATACAATACTTGAAGGTCGTATGGTAGGTAGGATTCAAATGTATGAGGGGGAGGCGTATTGTAAACAGATTATCCATATAATCAAGGTAATGGACTACAAACGATTACTTAAATTAATCTAGTCACCCGAAAATATACATTAGAACATTGAACATTATTCAGCTATTAGAAATCAAACTTCCCATATAGTCTTTAAATTATTTTATTATGTTTGTTGGTCAAGAGTTAAGATTAAATACAATGACTGAGTCAGATGTTAGACCACAATAGATGAGAAAAACGTCCACATTTCATTCACAGTTTCAATAAGCTGATTATATAATGAAAGGAATCGGCTGCCTTGGTTTTCTACTCAGAATTAAGATATGAGAAAATCAGTCTTTTCTCAGTTGAAGCTTTGGGATTGTGAGGACGGTCCGCAGGTGAAGTTGAGGAAGCTCTAAGGAGCCCAGAAGGAGCCGAACACATTTCATCCAATCAGATTTGAGAAGAATATTCTAGAATCACTACGTGTAGCTTCCCTATTGGACAATGCTGATAATTCCCTGTGTGCGGAATGGATAACTATAATGATGATTTCGTTTTTACTAAAAACTATAAATACCTGACAGTTTTGTACCATAATTGACACTGTTTGGAATAACATTCCTTCTACTTGTCTTCTGTCTTCTGATTTGTGACTTTGGAGGGTTCTAGCGTTTGAGTGCCCAAGTATTATGCAACAGACTAAGAAATCTAAGTTCGAGATGTAAGAGGGGTGTATATCGTACTTTGCGAAACAAATCAAATATAATTTTCTGTCAGTAGTACTTGTAAGTATCTGATAATGATTTTCCTGGCTAAATAGACTGTTTTATCCGAAAAAGAATAAATTATGAATAACCTCCGGAATCTATTTAAAGACAGTTATTATATATATATATTCTTGTTGTAAGACTGTTAAGTAACTTACTTACGCCTGTTACTCCCAATGGAGCATAGACCACTGACAAACATTCTCAAACCCACTCTGTCCTGGGCCTTCCTTTCTAATTCCATCTAATTTCTGTTCTTTCTTCTCATATCTGTCCCCATTTCTCGTCGTAATATGTTCTTTGGTCTTCCTCTTATCCATTGGCCTTCAGGATTCCATGTGAGGGCTTGTCTTGTGACGCAGTCGGGTGATTTCCTCAATGTGTGTCCTATCCACTTCCAGAGCTTCTCTCTGATTTCTTCCTCCATTGGATGGAATCTGGTTTGTTGTCTCCTACAGTAACTTGTTGCTGATAGTGTTTGACCAACGGATCCGAAGTATTTTGCATAAACAACTGTTAATAAACACTTGTATCTTCTGGATGATGGTTTTCGTAGTTCTCCGAGTTTCCGCCCCATACAGTAGGACTGTTTTGACATTTGTATTGAAAATTGTGATCTTGGTGTTGATTAACAATCGTTTTGAGTTCCAGATATTCTTCGGTTGTAAATATGCTGCTCTTGCTTTGCTGATCCACGTCTTCACATCTGCATCAGATCCATCGTGTTTATCAATGATGCTGCCCATATATGTGAAGGTTTCCACATCCTTCAATGTTTCTTCGTCAAGTGCAATTCGATTGGTGCATGTTAAGTAACTAGATTATATATATTTATATTTCTTTCATTATAAGCATACAATTGACCTATTAACTATTATTCTTAAGTTATTCCCAATTTATTAGTTACAGTCTCTCACACTCACAAACACTTTAGGACTGATCTTGTATAATTGTTATTTTTTATTTTATGGTGTGATGAGATCTGGTTCGCTTGTATAGAAACTATGTAAGTCTGAAATATATTATTCATACAGTGGAGGCTGAGATTACCTTCTGGACTCTACTGGTAGAGCTAGGCGAGAAGTACCTATAGGGATTCACAGTTAACATAAGGCTGCTAGTGCTGTTTTGACGTGTCATTAATTTAGCACAAGAATAATGTCATATAAGTTGATATTCGGATTAACGAATTTGTCGCGTGATAATTAACAGGGCAAAAGTCATATCATAGACTGAGTTTTAAAAATGAACAATGGTCAACAGAATTAGTGGAACTAACCATATGTTGGTTTGGTTTGGTTGATGTTCTCCGTGTTGTATTTGAGGATGTTGCTTTTTCGTTTGTGTATGTTGTGGTCTACTGCTGTAGAGGCTGCTGCTGCTACACAAGTTATCTTCATGTGTATTTGTTTGTATGTATGGGACAGGAGGGTGATCTGTGAAATCCGAATTTTTTAGTTTCATGTAAGCTTTTCATTGTAATCCATGCTACCCGTCAGATGTCGAGGTCTTGATAATCCAGTCAACCATCAAAAGAAAGAGGAAGTGGGAGAGTAGACAGCCTTGTTTGACTTCAGTCCCTACTGGAAATGCATCAACCAGCTTTCCTTTGTGCACGACTCCGGGGGCTACTGCTGGTCCCAAGTACGGGTAAAGGAGGAGGGTTGGGTATGAATTTAGCGACCCCATCCCATACAAAACCAACTCCCTAAAAAAAACGCTAACCAGAAGAAGTAATTTAGGACCCACAACCTGTTGTTGAGAGCTATGTTGAATTGGTTGAGTTTGTCAGTATGTCAAAGGAAGGACAGTATTGAACCATTGTTATGCTGTTTGTCTAGTTGTCTAATGCTTCTTTAGCTTAAATATGAGCTTGGCATCCACCAGGCAGGTGATTATTTTATTCTCTGTAAGCTCATTTCCTGGTTCTTACGTCCTCCATTAACCTTCTGAATTTTAAGTGATGCAAATATGATCAATCTGTTTCTGAGTAGTGTGATCCGGTGGGATAGACCCATGTAGCTTTGTGTATGAAATTCTGGGGAACATAATAGTACCGCCTATAAACATTTTGTTGAATGCATATAGATTTGCAAATGTGTTACTATTCTCGTTCGTTTCTCTCATTCAGTCCATATCGTTCCATGATATCTTGATACGCAGTGTCGTACATTCCGACTTTCGTGTTTAAGTCCTCAATCAGTATGGTCGACCTTTTCTAACCCCACTCCTCCTTGTGGGAAGGCAGCAACGCCGTTATGCTGGTTGTCTGAATGAAACACCTTACTGCCATCACACCTCTGTACAGTCGGCAGTACGACTTCGCCTTCGGACCTTGGGATTGCTGCTTTTAGTCTTACCGCTCTTCAACCGACCTGTCTGACATGGTAGGACCTTGAGGAACGATTATTCCAGACAGTATAGCTCAATTGCTTCATCACGATAGGCAAGCCCGACCACCACGTCAAAGTAGCAACAACGGTCAGGACTTTCCTGAGTATTTCACTTGGAATCGATTGCAGCCTCTCGTAATATATACATAGTGATCTGTCAATCTTAAATCAATTATTTAATCAATGAAAACGTATACTCATTGAATAAAGTCCAACAAATTGTCGAATGTATACAATCACACATACAAACACGCACAAAATATTCATCATTTCTAGGAAAATATCATTTTCATAATTCACATTCACAAGTTTCAGCGTACATATTACAAAGTACACAATCATTTCAGTATATATTTTGATTACATAACTATTGATGTAAGTGAACTGTTTAATCAGAAATGAAGTTCATCTTAATACCACTTATCTTCTTACTTGTATTAACTCATAATGGTACTTCAAAGAGAACATTGAAATTCAATGATCTATGGGAGAAATGGAAATCTATTTATACTAAACAATACACTGATGAAGATGAAGAAGCCATTCGTAGAAGGATCTGGAATAAGAATCTAATTAAAATTCAATTACATAATTTACGTTATGATTTAGGCTTTGAAACATATTCTATTGGTTTAAATCAATTTACAGATATTGAATGGAATGAATTTTATTCAATGTATAAAGTGAAAGAAAGATTAACCATTCCTGAATCATCACCATCATCATCTTTTATTGAAGAAGATTATGATGTGAATAATATTGGTTGGACACCGGATTCTTATGATTGGCGTCATTTTAATATTGTGAATGAACCAAGAGATGAAGTAAGTTTAGATCATATGTCTTCTTCATAGTTGAAATCATGAGTCAATTGAAGCTAGACCAACATGGAAAACCTGGAAGCACTGGACGGCCGTTGCTTCTTATTGCAGGACTCCTCAGCAGTGCGCATCCACGATCTCGCTTCGCGAGATTCCAACCCAGGACCTACCAGTCTCTATGCCAGAGTACTTAACCGATAGGTCCTGGGTTGGGATCTCGCAAAGCGGGATCGTGGATGCGCACTGCTGAGGAGTCCCATAATAGGACGAAACGGCCGTCCAGTGTTTCCAGGTTTTCCATGATGGTCTAGCTTCAATTGACTCATGATTTCAAGTATGAAAATACTGAAATCTCCACACAAACCCCTTCTGAACATTCTTTATTCATTAGAGGTAACTGAATTCTGACGATTAATTGGTAATATGAATCTGCTTTAAAGTTTTTCAGTATCACAGAACAGGTTGTTTGATATGCATTGGATGTTTAACCTGAATTATATATTTAAATCAACATATAAGAAGTCATAGTCAATGACATAACCATGACATATGACCGCTCGAAGGGATAGAGCTCTGAATAATACAATCACATGTCAGTAATTGTCAAAGCAAAATTTGTATCCATTTAGTATTTAGTGTTGATTAGAAGTACTAAAAAGAATATTCTTTTTGTTCATAGTTATTCTTCGCTCAACCATAACTTATATTTTATGAGTTACATAGGTTGTGCAATTATCGATGTGGACTTCTGACGATTGCGATTTTGGGTAACAAACTGTCTAATCAGTCAGATACCGAATAACTCAGTGGTAACATTTGGAATCTGAGAGTCGGAGAAACGAATTCGAGTTCACCAGGGAACATTGAATCTTATAATATTTCAGGTGTACATTGCTGACGAGTGTCCAATAGAATGAAACATAAGTCTATGGTTTCAGTACTTGACAGTGTTATGAATGTACTTCGTTGAAGATTACAAGATGAAATAATTAGTTACTTATCATTGATTTTTTTCTGAATAGTTTTTCATCTGTTAACAGTCTGTTATTGATAATATCTTCAAGTTAAAATCCATCCATCCATCCATCCATCCATCCATCCATCCATCCATCCATCCATCCATCCATCCATCCATCCATCCATCCATCCATCCATCCATCCATCCATCCATCCATCCATCCATCCATCCATCCATCCATCCATCCATCCATCCATCCATCCATCCATCCATCCATCCATCCATCCATCCATCCATCCATCCATCCATCCATCCATCCATCCATCCATCCATCCATCCATCCATCCATCCATCCATCCATCCATCCATCCATCCATCCATCCATCCATCCATCCATCCATCCATCCATCCATCCATCCATCCATCCATCCATCCATCCATCCATCTATCTATCTATCTATCTATCTATCTGTCTGTCTATAAATCCATCCATCCACCTATCTATTCATCGACTGAGATGGTTGGGCTACATGTTACGTATGCCTGAACACCGATTTCCACGACACGCAGTACGGACTACTATTGGGGATGGTTGGAAGAGAGTTAGGTGCGACCAAACCAAAGTGTGACATCAGTCCTTGAAGTCACTAACTTCTAGTCCGAGTCATGTTGGTAGATAAAGACTATTTGGTTAGGGTCCGCATGACTATCGTAACCAATAATTGGAGACTCTAGGTGACATGGCTCAGAATCGATCAAAATGGCGTAGGTGTATACATTCTTTATCTTCCCTTAGACCTTCAGATTAAAATCGCTTCATGTCTGTCTTCCTTCCTATACTATATCCCTAAATACAACCTTTCATTTATATATTATCACTACCAAATTAACTACTTCTATGAATTCGGTATTCATCTTGTTGTGCTAACGAGATTTGTCAACTTGAACCGATGCATAAATATGCCTGATCCTACGTTGTATCTGACTGACTGACTGACTACCTTTGCATGTATATCATTTTCTTCTTAATTTGTTTTCATCTATCAGGGTTCATGTATTGGTTCGTATGCATTTGCTGTAACAGCTGTAACTGAATCTCAATATGCTTTACGTACATCTAATCGAAAAAAGTTTTCTGTACAACAATTTATTGATTGTACACGAATATATGGTAATATGGGTTGTCATGGTGGTTACACATTTACATTGTTTATTTATTTACAAAATTTTGGATTAGAAACAGAAGAAAATTATCCATTTACGGGTGGGGTATGTTTAAAAATAACTGATTTAATTCATCAATACATAACATTAGGCATGGTTTTTTATTTATAAGTAGTATGCTTATTCATGTGAATTTATTCTTAATCGTGAATCATGTAACATCAAACAGATCTATGAGTATCCCACGACTCCAGATAAAGGATCAAGGGTAATAACACTGTCAGTTTTCATTTATTTAGTATTGTTTGTTTGAATATTCCCATCGATGTGTTAGGACTGCAATTAGTCAGTCTCTAATTGGCCATGTTAGCATACTGTGCGTATTGCTTCGATATAGCAGGTGGCTATCGAACTCAGTAGCCGAGTGGATAACGTGATAACGTTTGAAGCGAAAGTTACGGGGTTCGAGTCCAAGAGTGAACACAATCTCTGAGATGCAGGAATAGCTCAGTGGTAACGTTTCTGCCACTGAAGCTGGATGACACGGGATCGAATCAGTCAGGAAGCACCAGTGTCCTCAAGATTACAGCAACACCACCGAAGAGTGCAAGTAGCACGAAACCCGGGCCCAGGGTTTCTTGTTGACCACCTCCAACCAACATCTTAGATCTAACACCTGTCACATTATCTACATGTCTGACTCAGCAAAACAACCAATCATTATCATTCTCAACCACACATCATTACCAATATAAATATTCTGAAGATATAACAGTGAGGAGAGAAGTGGAAAACTGATATGAGAGGTATTTCTTTCATGAGTATATTCCTAGAAACCTAAGTGTCGGTGAAAAGAAAATCAATGTTTGTCGTTCAATTGAGCCTCATCCGCTGAACACAGCATTATAAGGTAGATAGATAAAGTGAATATAAAGATTATATCACAGTTAATTAAGCTGAATAATTGAATCAGTAATTAACCTGAAATAATCACATCAATCACCTTTGAATAAAGAATCCAATAAGAAGAATATTTAATCAGAAGGGGATTTTTTGTGTTGATTTTATTAATTTTATAGTTGAAATCATGAGTCAATTGAAACAGTAACCAGTGAAGTTCAACCAGGTCTGTTTTGAGATATTAGCTCACTGAAGACAATGGTAAACGGTTGCCCAATTTCGTGGACTAGTTGAAGTTAGACATTAACATCGTTGGATGCTGGCTCACAGGTCTAGAGGTTAAACGCTCACGCGCGAGACCAATAGGTCCTAGGTTCGAACCTCGCGAGCCGATATCCTGGATGCACACTGCTGAGGAGTTCCACAATAGGACGAAACGGTCGTACAGTGCTTCCAATTTTTCCATGATGGTCTAACTTCGATTGACTAATGATCTCAACTATGAAATATCTAGTCAATTTGTTGTTCACTCTGTAAATATGATTGTGACTGATCTATTTTCTTTATGTTGTTGTGATTTTTTTCAAGGACCAAGATTGTGTAGCAAATAGTTCAGATGTGGTTGTTCAATCCATTGGTTATAAATTTCACCGACATGGTTATGAAACAATTTTGAAATGGGCAGTGTATAATGAAGGTCCATATGTAATTTCAATGAATATTGATGAAAATTTTTTACATTATAAGTGAGTATATTAATCATGATGAGATTGTGTGTGTGTGTGTGAGGAATTCACAGAAGAGATTTATCTATTGAACTATTGATTTGAAAATAATGTGTATTTGAAATGATGCAGAAGATTTGTAGCTCATTTGGATGATTTTGATGGAGTTCTGTTCTCTGAGTTGGATGGTTTGGTCGTGTAGCTTTCATCATCCTTCTCAACGACATCATCAGCACAAACGTCGGGTAGAAGTGAAGTGTTTGAACCACATGTGGAGAAAATCAAACACTTCACTTTAACCCGACGTTTAGGCTGATGATGCCGTTTAGAAGGACGATGAAAACTCCACGACCGAACCATCCAACTCAGAAAACAAAACTCTATCAAAATAATAAGTATGGAAGAATCGTTATAATTGCATATTTCCGAAGAGTGTTCGCAATTCGAAACTGAATTTTAGTTAGATAAACATCGAAAAGTAAGGTGTACTGGAAAATTGTTTAATCTTAGTCTGATAGGTACCTCTGATGGGTATGAATGATAATTTTTACACACTGTATTGTTAATTTATTAATTTCGGAAATATGAACAATTGGATTACAACCCCGTAGTTTTATGATAACCCATCCATTGTGAAGCCAAAATATTGTTATGTTTGATCATTGATCAGGGGATACAACTTAACTATTAGAAATAGCAATTCAGAAAGTCTACCAGGAGTGACATTTTGTATTCGAAAGAATAGCATTTGTCAGTTGTTCGCAAGTACATTCAAAGTCCTCATTCTCGAACAGCTAAGACCCCATGGATGATTTAAACTATGCAATGTTATGTCTTTCAATGAGTACATTTAGTTTTGGAACACTGAATTTAGCTTCGGATATTTATATTTCTGACCTCAGTCAATTCTTGATTGTAAATAAATTATCTAACTAAATGAAAAGTTAATTCATTCATAGGGTGTGGTTTAGTGGAAATGGTACAATTTTCATGGGTTTTGAATCCTGTGAATAATCTTCGTTAGACGACCATAGAAGGTCTGGAAGCACTGGACAGCCGTTTTATCCACGGTCTTGTGACCGAGGATCATATTGAGGACCATCAACCTCACACGTGAGCGCCCAACTTCTAGATCAATGAGCTGAGATTTAATCAATTAAATGAATTTGTTCTGGTGGTACCTAGTTTTATTATTCCTAACCTCATCTGAATGTGCCAATTTTCCATACAATTTGTGGATAATATCAGAAGGGGTTTTGTGGATATCATAGTAATTTTAATAGTTGAGATCATGAATCACTTGAATCTGGACCATTATAGAAAACCTGGAAGCACTAGATGAACGTTTCGTCCCATTGTGGGACTGCTCAGCAGTGAGTATCCACGATCCCGCCTCGCGAAATTCGAACTCAGGACCTATCAGTCTCGCGCCAGAGCGTTTGACCTTTAGACCGCTGAGCCGGTCGGCATCGCACGGTGTTAATGTCTAACTTCAACGGATCCACAAAGCTGAGCGATACATTCACCATTGTCTTTTTATGTTGGTTTGCTCTCTGAGCTGGATGGTTTGGTCGTGGAGCTTTCATCGTCCTTCTGAACGACATCAACAGCACAAACTTCGGGTAGAAGTGAAGTGTTTGAATTTCTCCACATGTGATTCACAGCTTGTCCTCTGCACCTCGATGTTGATTGGTTCTTATTGACCTTAAATCTGTCATTGTTTATTTCTTTGTTTTGATTGTCTCTCCTATTGTTTTGATTTTTGTTCCTATGCTCCTGCATAATTTTCTTGATTGGTTGATAGATTGGATTGATTTCAATATGTTTGTTTATTGCTGATTGACCTAAGTGCCAAGCTTCTAAAATTCTCTGGTATTTTTGGAATTGCCTCTGTCCAAAATCTGCACATTTTCCCAGTCGAATGTATGTCCGTAGTTGTCCACGTGTATTGATATGAGTGAAGAAATGTCGTGGCGTTTGACTGCTAATTGGTGTTCATGTAGGCGTAGATGCAGGGGGCGTCCGCTTTGTCCAATATAGTGTTTGTTGCAGTTGGTACAATTTATCTTGTAGATGATGTTTGTTTTGTCCTCTTTTGCCATTTCATCTTTTGGTTTGCATAAGATGAACCAAATAGCAGTCAAACGCCACGACATTTCTTCACTCATATCAATACACGTGGACAACTACGGACATACATTCGACTGGGAAAATGTGCAGATTTTGGACAGAGGCAGTTCCAAAAATACCAGAGAATTTTAGAAGCTTGGCACTTAGGTCAATCAGCAATAAACAAACATATTGAAATCAATCCAATCTATCAACCAATCAAGAAAATTATGCAGGAGCATAGGAACAAAAATCAAAACAATAGGAGAGACAATCAAAACAAAGAAATAAACAATGACAGATTTAAGGTCAATAAGAACCAATCAACATCGAGGTGCAGAGGACAAGCTGTGAATCACATGTGGAGAAATTCAAACACTTCACTTCTACCCGAAGTTTGTGCTGTTGATGTCGTTCAGAAGGACGATGAAAGCTCCACGACCAAACCATCCAGCTCAGAGAGCAAACCAACATAAAAAGACAATGGTGAATGTATCGCTCAGCTTTGTGGATCCGTTGAAGTTAGACATTAACACCGTGCGATGCCGACCGGCTCAGCGGTCTAAAGGTTAAACGCTCTGGCGCGAGACTGATAGGTCCTGAGTTCGAATTTCGCGAGGCGGGATCGTGGATGCTCACTGCTGAGCAGTCCCACAATGGGACGAAACGTTCATCTAGTGCTTCCACGTTTTCCATAGTGGTCTAACTTCAATTGATTCATGATCTCAAGTATCAAAATTTGTGGATAGTTAAGAAAATTACAATTCGAATATGCATACGTTTCACAATAAATCCAGTTTGTAACCCGTTTTTTTTCCAGGTCAGGAATATATCAATCTGATACATGTACACATTATAATTTAAATCAAAGTATGTTACTTGTTGGTTATGGTTATGATAATGATGGTAACGATTACTGGATATTACAAAATAATTGGGGAACAAAGTGGGGTGAACAAGGTTATGTGAAAGTACTTCGTAACCATTGGAATATGTGTGGAATTGCTTCAATGGCTTTTCGACCAATATTACGTGGTTTTTAACTGTCCCTCATATTTTTAACATTTCACTTATATTACTTAAACAATAAATTAAGTAGTCAAAACTTTCAACAAATATTTTGAACTGTAAATTATAAAAATATTGAAACATGTGCATTGATTTAATATTTCCCCAACCACTTAACAGAAACAACATGGGAATGATGTTGATGATGCATTTAAAATAGACGAAAGCTACTGTTGTTAGCCCTGGTACGGTCGAGAGTGGGGAGAGTTCGCTCTCTCTCTAGAAATGCTCTCACATGGCCACGCGTATATAGCCTCCACCAGGGAAGTCCTACTCATCGCATTCTCGTGGCATTACTGTTGTTTACGAAATTGAGAGGACGAAAAGCGAATGTCCGGCGCTTTATCCGGGTTGGTGGATGTGGAGTGTCCACCTAGGTTAGTTGGAAAACCTTGATTTCAAACAAATGGTGTACATGGGCTCCAGTATCCTGAAGGAACAAATGACATATGAACCAATTGTTGGTCACCGACTACCATGGGACTGCATCTCCTTACGATGCTCCACTACCTTGTGGACTAGACCTTTAGGTTAAAAGCTCGAGATGTGTGGACCCCTAAGAAAACCACCTGATTCAGTTTGGGCACCTCAGCAGTATCATAGCCCTCATACAAATCAAATGAAATTTGTGAGGCATATATGTATCTGTTGTTAGCTATTGTTTGAGGCTAACAAGATAATTTTTTTTAAGTTGATTATATTGTAGTCTACTTTATTAAATATTGATTGTAGGGGTTTGTACTTTTACCGTTGTCAATGTTAATCACTGCAGTTTGTCAGTCACCTTTAGCATACATACATTCGGAGAGAATCATTTCATTGTCACCAAATAGCCAAAAGTATTTTGATAATGTTGGATAGTGACTAGAAGTGGGAGTCATGGCTCATGATTCATATGATACGCCTCACCTCGACGTGCTCGCATCCCACTAATGATGGTCACATGGAAACTCTAACCCAGTACCTTTCGCTATGAACGACATAACTTTTCTCCACTGCTCAAATGTCTTAACTTTTGTGGTTAGTATTATTGATTGACGTTTAGTTAGTCAATCAACGTACAGTTGGAAAGCACTAGAACGCTGTTTCATTTTAGTATAGAACTTCTAATCTCCCTACAAACTTGAACCTAAGAGAGATAGAACTTAAGACCTACCAGAACTCAAACCCGAACTTTGTGTGCTAAAACTCTATGTCCGGACTCTTATCCTTCCTTGGCCCTAATTCCCTTTCATGATCATCATTTAGTTATTATTATAACCATTATGTTTTACATTTCTTCTTCATATCTGTCTAGTGAACAATTATCTTTCATAATTCCGACCCGTAAATTATCTTCATTCACCTATTCTTCTCTAACCCCCTGATTATTACGCGACCTCATTTGATATTTGGAGTCTCAAATCAATTCATGATGCAATCTTTTCTATCTTCCTCCACAGTTATATATTTGCCAAACAACTGTAGATGTAAATGTAAATGATTTCGTTGAAATGAAAAATTTCTCTAAATTCTTTCTATTTCCATGAAATAGCCCTTGAGTTCTGTTAGGTCTTAGGCTTGATCGCTCTTAGGTTTGTAGGGAGCTGAGAAGTCCTATACTAAAATAAAACAGCTTTTTAGCGCTTTCTAACTGTACAGTGGTTGACTAACTAAACGTCAATCAATGATACTAACCACAAAAGTTAAGACATTTACTGTGTTTACTATTTTCGACTCTAGTTGATTCGCTGCATTTTGTGACCCATATTCATTTTTATCTATGATACATGACTCGATCTCGAGATGAATGAACTGTAGAAGTTACATTCACTTGGTATTGTTTGCTTGTAACTTCCCATTGATGTTTAAGACTGCAATTGATCAGTCTCTTATTAACGTATGTGCATCCTGTGCCGATTGCTTCGATATTGCCTTAAGTCACAAGCTTTATAAGCAAAGATGGATAGTAGTGGAATCGAGGACGCGTGTTTCGTTCTATTTGGGACTCATCAGCTGGATGTACCTGCATCTGAGTCAACGTTCACTTTGGGACTAGAACCCAGTACCATTCACTTCAAACGTCATCATATTATCCACTTAGCTACAGAGTCCTGATGGCCAACTGCACTAGTTACAGTTTTTTTTTATAAACAAAAGCAATTCTTCGGAAAAGACAACATGATTATTTTATGAAGTTGACAATGGAAGCCAAAAATGTTCACCTTTATGTTCACGTATACAAAAAAAGTTCTTGATTATGTAATAGTCTGTGCATGTGAGTATCAATTCTACAATGTCTGATTTTATAGGTTTAATCTGCTTCATTCATTTGTAAATTACGTTTTGTTTCTTCTTCTTCAGCTAACATCTTTTCATAACGTTCTAATGCTGATTTCAATTGTGTCACCATAAGTTCATCAATAATTGGATAAACCTTGATAGAAAATGTCATACGGAAAGAAAAAAAAAAGAAGGATTGCAAATAGATAAAACTTATTTATATGAGGATATGAAAACTGTCGATCTAAGATTTTAATTTAAAGATGATATAACTATGACATAACATTCAAGTCCATTGCCATTAAGTTTGACAGATGCAGACTATTTGGTTGGAATTCGCGTGACTATCCAAACCAATGGTTGGAGACTCTAGGTGACATGGCTCAGAATCGATCACAATGGCGTCGGTGCATACACTCTTCATCTTCCCTTAAACCTTAAAATTAAGATTGCTTCATATCTGTCTTCCTTCCTATACTATATCCTTATATACATCCTTTCTTTATATACTACCACCACTAAATTAACTATTTCTATGAATCCGGTGTTCATCTTGTTTTGCTAACGAGGTATGGCAACTTGGACCGATGCATAAATTTGCTTTGTCCTACGTTTTAGCTGACTGACTGACTGAAATTAAGTTTGATGTCATTCTCAAAGATGCATATACTGGTACAACAGTAAGTTATCAATGATAAGGTTACTAATGTGTGTTTATCAAAGTAACTACTGTAGAGTCGGTTACATAGGCTATGTTCAAAAGGCATCACCTTTGCATACTCAAAAACATATGGCATCTTGATGGTGAAAACGCTTCAAAAATTTAGTGTTTACAACTCAACTTATTGTTAGATATGCCGGGTAAGAATTAAGAGTGATGGTTGGGGTACAGTTTTAATGGTTAATGATCAGTGGAATCCATTCTGTGTCTGGTAAAGACAGGTATGTACCTCAGACAATGGATGGAAGTTTATTCAATCATTCATGGATCATTAGAAGTTATACGTTAACACCGTTAAATGCTGGCGTTCACATGCGAGACCGAGAGTCCTCGTTTCGTATCTCGCGTGTGGGGTCGTGGATAAGCACTGCTGAAAAGTCCCATACTAGGACGAAGCAATCATCCAGTGCTTCTGTTGATGATATTTTTAAATTAGTATTATAGTGTATTCTACTAATCATATAGGATCTTGTGGAGATTGTTAAACATTACAGTTTAGATCACAGACAGACGTTACTTAAACAATCGTAAAAATATTGAAACACTTATAATCTATTCTATATTAGTGCTGTACTTGTCACCTATGCTGACTTAGTAATTTAAAGGTTAGTCGCTTGTCATGTGACCTAAAGCCCTTGGGTTTGATCCTCAGCAAGTCATGGATGTGCACTACTAAGAAATCCTGTACTGAAACCAGATAACTGTTCAGTGCTTCTTAGTTTCCCTGGTTTTCTAACTAACGTTAGTGTTTGATGTAAAACGTAGAATACAAAAAGTTGTAAAAAACAAACTTACACTTGCCACTGTTTGAAACATTGGAATAAGAACAAATTTGATGAAACCAATTTGTGCTGTTGGTTTAGTGACTTTTTCACGATCCATAAATGGTGCTACTGGTAAACCTTCTAATTTCTCTCGATCAGACTAAATTTTATAAAAAGAAGTATTAGTGAATAAAAATAATGATATCATCCAATAAAAAAAAAGACAATGATGAACGGTTGCTCAATTTTGTGGACTCGTTGAAGTTAGACATTAACACCGTTGGATGCCGAACGGCTCAAAGGTCTTGAGGTTAAGCGCTCGCGCGCGAGACTGATAGGTACTGGGTTAGAAACTCGCGAGGCAGTTGAGGAGTCCCACAATAGGACAAAAAGGCCGTCCAGTGCTTCCAGGTTCCCATGATGTTCTAGCTTCATATTTTTCACTCTCAAGGTATGCTACGATAATACGTTACTACGATAAAGAGAGTAGTCAAGCTATGTCAGATACAGGTGTAGGGCCAGTAAAATGTCACTGATCCCTAGCCAAGTTCGGTCACTAAATATCGAACAGATCATCGTCAAGGTCAAGGACAATCAGCGCGCATCAGTTAATCATACGCCATGGACTGGCCCATACGGCAGTGGTTCTACTTTTGCTTGTATCTATTTTAACTAATATATTCCTGTAATAACGTCCTATGTGTTGAACAGTCTTCTGAGCATCTATGGTCCCTTGATGCGTCTATGGGGCAATCCAGGTAAGGTGCTGATCGCGAGGTGTAACTTCGAAGTTAGCTTGTTCGTTACACCGTTCCCGTCTAACTCGAGTAAGCCTCCAACCATTCGACATAGACCATCAACGTTGATGGTCTACACAGGATTCACGGCTCAGAATAGAAAACCAGAATAACACAGATAAGACTTTATTCAATACGAATATAAACAGTCACACTCAGTGATCCCATGGTAGAAATCAAGGTAAAGAAAGGGAATCAAATATCTAGTAGTCCATAGTCAGAGTTATTAGGTGTAGGAAGGATTTGAAAGCGACCAACTTGGTCTCGTGTGCAGTTAAGGGTATGAGGGCTAGTATCACTTCCCGGTTGCCCACACCGTGGAAGGGTATTTCTTGAGGGACCTGGAAAAGAAGTTGGATTAGTGTTGGTCTTAACGACCTGGGAGCGTGACCGCAGTGCCCAAGGGACATCTGCTTGAGGCCGGTCACGCACGGCCTTTTTGTGGGGGATTTTTGACGTGTTAGCTCCGTTCTTCAAAAGTCCTTACCGCCGGAGACGGAAATCCGTAAGATAAGGCGAGGTGTGCATTTTTAGGGTCGACCTTTTCTAACCCCACCCCTCCTTGTGGGAAGGCAGCATCGCTGTCATGCTGGTTGTCTGAAGGAAACACCTTACTGCTTTCACACCTCTGTACAGTCAGCAGTACGACTTCGCCTTCGGACCTTGGGATTGCTGCTTTTAGTCTCACCGCTCTTCAACCGACCTGTCTGGCATGGTAGGACCTTGAGGAACGATTGTTCCAGCCAGCATAGCTCGATTGGATCATCACGACAGGCAAGCCCGACCACCACGTCAAGGTAGCAGCAACGGTCGGGAGTAGTCCATAGACTGTTGGCTGTTTGTCTACACTCAGTGACTAATGGCATTTCACTTTACTATCACATATCCGTTATGTACATTTGGTCATACATGCTGGCAAGTAAAGTCCTATTGATTTAGCATATTCTCCATAATAAAACCCTTCTAATTCTAATTTCTTAAACTTTTAATTGGAATAAATGAACAGATAATGGATACTCTGGAAAAGCGTACTTATAATCTTACATAAGATAGAAGTTAAGAGCTTCAAGCCACATGAACAGTTAGACATTACTGAAGCATTACTGAATTGTATCATATCACAGAAATAAACGGTATGCTTATAGGTTACTCTATTGTTACTTATGTTGAAAGAAATTTGTATTCCCTTACAAATTGAGAAAAAAAAAACAAAACAAACAAAAGAAGTTTTAATAATAAGAGACCATCTGTATGAAGCTGAATGGACACATTTATGCTGCTTGAAACTTGTCAACAAGATGTTTCTGGAATATTACGAAATACATTATTACTCTTTGAACAGAATGTTATATCCTAGTGAAGACATAAGTACGGGTTACTTCCAGGATCTATTAATGGACTATTATTCTATATATATTCTTATGGTTTATCATGATGAATAATCTATCTATTTATTTAAACACATTAATATTAGTACAAAGGGGAACCAAATATATATGCACCGCACAAATCTCATTTGATTTGTATGAGGGATGTGATACTGCCCAGGTGCCCAGACCGAATCAGGTGGTTTCCTTAGGAGACCACACCCGGAGCCTTCGATCTAAAGATCTGATCCACAAGACAGTGAAGCTTCGTGAGGAAATGCAGTGCCATGATCGACGATTGATTCATACGCCATTTGTTCCTTCAGGATACTGGAGCTCATGTGCATTATTAGTTTAGAATAAGGATTTTCCAACTCCCCCTAGGTGGACCTTACATATCCAGCAACCCGGTTAAAGCACCGAACATTTGTTTTTCGTCCTCTTAATTTCATAAACAACAGTAATGCCACGAGAAAGGAGTGAGTAAGACTTCCGTAACAGAGGCTATATACACATGGCCATATGACAGAATTTCTAGATGGATAGCGGATTAACTCCACTCTCGGCCGTACCAGGACATTTGATGGCCATGATGAATAAAGTTAATTTAGATAATATATTGATCAATTATATCATATCGATACATTTAGACAACTATTCATACACTGACATTTCATCGAGACATTTTAACAATTTGACATCATTAAAATGAAATTTTTACCTGATTAAAATATTCTTCTAATAAACAATCAACCCATGGTTCACTAACTGATAATGGTCTTACTTCATTTGATATATCACAACATTTAATAAGAACCATTTTAAACTACAAAAAGGGAAATAATAATATGATTATGTTAATAGACGTCAGCGTCAACAGAACATCTTTCTTAAAGAGTTATATAAGAATATGAAATAGAAAATATTAGAAGAATAAAAAAGGCTATTCAGTTGTCTAGTGCAAGCAGTGTCGAGCCACCTAGACTGGTGGTCACATTGCAACTCGATCGATAGCATTCGATCAGCACTAAGAAGGACCTGACACGCATGAGATTGATCACCACCCAGTGATCAATCAATTGTGATTACATCTCAGTCCTACAGGAGATTGGTCGCGGCCCGAATAGCTCAGTGGTAACGTCTCTGACTGTGAAGCTGAGTGACGCGGGATCGAATCCGCCAGGGAGCATCAGTTCCCTCAGGATTACAGGTACACCTTGCTGACGAGTGACAAGTAGCACGAAACCCGGGTCCAGGGTTTCCTGTTGACCACCTCCAACTACCATCTTACCTCAATATACATAGTGCAAGCAGTGTCGAGCCACCTAGACTGGTGGTCACATTGCAACTCGATCGATAGCATTCGATCAGCACTAAGAAGGACCTGACACGCATGAGATTGATCACCACCCAGTGATCAATCAATTGTGAGTTGTCTAGTTCATTTAGGTTTTTAGGGATAGACTGATTAAGATTAATTTACTAGTTTAATTGAGAAAATTTTACTATCTCCACAAATACTTTACATTAATCTTTAACTCATTGACGATTCCAAATGATCAACGTTCTGTGATCAAATGTCAATGTTCTGTCACAATACTAACATACCTATTAGAAGCTTAGGCTTTTCAACCATACAAAATATATATATATATATATATATATATATATATATATGACGAATGTACGAAAAGTGGATTATATGAGCCTAAAATTAATAGACCACTGGAAAATGAATGATTTTAATAAGGTGGAGATAGAGAGACGAGATAAAAAATTTTTCATTCTATATGAAAATTATATTTGAAGTAATCTCAGAGATTGAATTTTAAATAATTCGAACGTTTCGTCCAGCTAACTTGTCTGGACTTCTACAGGGCACTTGTGGAGATTGTAGAATTTTCGCAGTTGAATTCGTGAACTGATCTTAACCAGACTACCCCTGGAAACTTGGAAGAACTATACAACTGTTTTATCCCAGTATGTGACTTTACAGTAGCGCACATCAACGACCGTGCAAACGCAAATTCGAACACTGGACATTTAATCTTCCACATGAATGCTTAAATCTTAGACTACTGAGCTGGCATCCAACTGTGTTATTAATCAAATTTAATCAATACATGATCTTATGCAACCTTTCATCCATTGCCTATGGTATTCAGCTGTCTCACACTTGACACGGATTGATCTTCACTGGGCATAGTTTCTCACTGGAACTTCAGGAGTTACATCTTGAAGCCAGTCATTAGTAAGCATATGATAATTATTTCTAAAGTGCTTTTGTAGAGACTGTTACAATTGTTTAAACCAATAAATCATCATTCTATATGAATTTTTGTAGCAATTTTGCTATTTACACGGAGAACCATGTACTATATGAACAAATGAATTCTACTTCACTAACATCCTGTTTCGGCTTTTTTCCATGTATTTTATTACACTTACTTACTTACTTACTTACGCCTGTTACCCCTTGTGGAGGAGCATAGACCAACCACCAGCATTCGACATCCAACTCTGTCCTGAGCCTTCCTTTCCAGTTCTTTCCAGTTACTATTCAGCCTTTTCATATCGGCTTCTATTTCCCGGCGTAATGTGTTCTTTGGCCTTCCTCTTTTCCGCTTCCCTTCCGGATTCCAAGTTAGGGATTGAGTCGTGATGCACATTGGTGATTTCCTCAATGTATGTCCAATCCACTTCCAACGTCTTTTCCTAATTTCCTCTTCAGCTGGAAGCTGGTTTGTCCTCTACCATAAAACGCTGTTGCTGATAGTATCCGGCCAGTGGATGTTGAGTATTTTGCGTAGACAACTATTTATAAATACTTGTACCTTCCTGATGATGGCCGTAGTAGTTCTCCACGTTTCAGCTCCATACAGTAGGACTGCCTTGACGTTCGTGTTAAAGTTTCTGACCTTGAAATTGGTTGAGAGTTGTTTTGAGTTTTATATGTTCTTCAATTGTAGAAATGCTGCCCTTACTTTGCCAATCCTCGCCTTTACATCTGCATCCGATCCTCCTTGTTTATCAACGATGCTCCCCAGGTACTTGAACGTTTCCACCTCTTCCAGAGTTTCGCCGTCAAGTGTTATTCGTTTGGTTGATGTTCTCCGTGTTGCATTTGAGAATCTTGCTTTTTCCTTTGTGAATGTGGAGACCTATCGATGCAGAGGCTGCTGCTACATTTGCGGTCTTCATCTGCATTTGGTCGTGTGTATGAGAGAGGAGGGCTAGGTCATCTGCGAAGTCCAAATCATCTAATTGATTCTGAGAAGTCCATTGTATTCCGTATTTCCCTTCAGATGTCGAATTCTTCATAATCCAGTCAATCACTAGAAGGAAGAGGAATGGGGAGAGTTGACAGCCTTGTCTGACTCCGGTCCGTTTTGGAAATGCGTATGTCAGCTGTCCTCCATGCACCACTTTGCACTGTAGTCCATCGTATGAGTTTTGGATAATGTTGACAATCTTTTCGGGAACTCACTACATAGTGTCGAAGAAGTTTCCATAATGTTCTCCTGTCCACGCTGTCAAACGCCTTCTCATAGTCAATAAAGTTGACGTATAGTGATGAGTTCCACTCAACTGATTGTTCAACGATGATCCGTAGTGTCGCAATCTGGTCTGTGCACGACCGATCCTTACGGAATCCAGCCTGATGATCACTGAGTTCGGCGTCTACTGTGTCTTTCATCCGATTCAGCAGCACTCTGTTGAAGACTTTTCCTGGTACTCATAACAAACTGATGCCTCTGTAGTTCTCACATTGGCTCAGATCTCCTTTTACTGGTATCTTGATGAGATATCCTTATTTCCAGTCCGTTGGCACTTGTTCCTCTTCCCAAATCTTCTTGAATAGAAGGTGAAGCATGTTTGCAGTTATTTCAATGTCTGACTTGAGTGCTTCTCCTGGTATATTGTCAGGTCCTGCCGCCTTCCCACTTTTGATTTGTCTGATGGCCATCTTGACTTCTTTGATCGTTGGTGGAGTGACATCTATTGGAAGGTCAGTGTGGGCTGCTTCGATGTTCGGTGGATTCAATGGGGCTAGTCTATTCAGCAGTTCCTCGAAGTATTCTGCCCATCTTTTCCTCTGTTCTTGAATCTCAGTGATTGTCTTTCCTTTTTTGTCTTTGACTGGTCTCTCTGGTTTGCTATATCTCCCTGCCCATTTCTTCGTTGTATCATATAGTTGTTTCATATTCCCTTCTCTTGCAGCTTTTTCCGCCGTCGTTGCTAGTTCTCCCATGTAGTTCTGCTTGTCGGCTTTAATGCTTTTCTTCACTTCCCTGTTTGCTAATGCGTAGTCTGCTTGTGCTTTGACTTTCTCTGCTCGTGTTCGGCTGTTGTTAATTGCTTGTTTCTTGTTCTTCCTTTCTTGAATTTTGTCCAGGGTTCCCAGAGAGATCCATTCCTTGTGATGATGCCTCTTGGGACCAAGAACCTCCTGACACGTTGAAGTTAGTGCTTCTTTTATCCCTTTCCAGTTGTCCTCCAAAGTAGTTTCTTGTTCTTTCAGTAGATCCTGTAGAGCTTGGAACCTGTTGTTGAGAGTTATCTTGAATTCGTGGAGCTTGTCAGTATCTCGAAGGAAGGCTGTATTGAACCCTTGTAGTGCCGTTTGTCCAGTTGTCCAGTGTTTCTTAAGCTTCAGTCTCATCTTGGCCACAACCAGGTGGTGATCTGAAGCTATGTCAGCTCCTCTCCGGGTTCTCACATCTTCAATTGATCTTCGGAATTTTTTGTTGATACAGATGTGATCTATCTGGTTCTCTGTGGTGTGGTCCGGTGAGATCCATGTAGCTTTGTGTATGCGTTTGTGTGGGAATATTGTGCCACTTATAACCAATTTGTTTAAAGCACATAGGTTTGCAAGTCTCTCCCCATTTTCATTTCTCTCTCCTAGTCCGTGTCGTCCAATTATATCTTCATATCCTGTGTTGTCCACTCCAACTTTAACATTTATATCTCCCATAAGGACGGTGAGGTCCTTTCGTGAGCACTTCTCTATGAATGATTGCAGCCTTTCATAGAATTGATCTTTATCATCGTCGTTGCTATCATTGGTGGGTGCATAACATTGGATAACGTTCATTGTGATCCCTTGCTTCTTTGTTCTCAATGATGCTTTGATTATCCTGGGTCCATGAGATTCCCATCCCACAAGTGCATTTCTTGCTTCTTTGGACAGCATTGGAGCAACTGCCTGAGTGTGTGGAGCATTTTCCCCTTCGTGACCAGAGTACAGCAGCATCTCTCCTGTACCTAGCCTTTGTTGTCCAGTTTGTGTCCAATGGGTTTCGCTGATTCCGAGTACTGCCAAGTTGTATCTCCTCATTTCCATTGCTATTTGGCTGGTCTATTTTATTACACTACTTATTAATATTTAATAACAAGTAAATATTGACATATAATTCCCATTCGAACATTGAAAACATGAGCGATATTTCTTCAACGATTTTTCTGTGAAGCTGTACTACACAGTTGGATTAACGAGTCTGTCAAAGCTGGACTATTATCGAAAACCTGGAAGCAATGGATGACCATTTCGTTCTAGCGCAATATATCTCAGCAGTGAGTATTCGCGATTCCATACGCGGGAATTAAACTCAAGACCTTCTCTCTCGGATGCTAACATTACCCATCTCTAACAGTGGATTAAGGGTTTTGCAAGATCGAGGTTAAACTTTAACACCGTTGAATGTCAGCTCAGTAGTCTAGGGGAAGATCAAAGATCCTGCGTTCGAACATGCACTTGCACGGTCGTTAGTGCACACTGTTGGAGAGTCTCATACCAGGACAAAAGAGCTATCAAGTGCTTTCCAGGTTTTCAATGATACTTGCTTTTTGTACAAAAATTAAATCTCATGGTTATACGTTTGTTTTTCTTGTTTGAAATTCAAGATTAGGAAATTTTTGATAATTACTCCGTGGTTCGCAGACGTTTTCCATAATGTTCAGGTATAATATGTTGCATAAATAAAGATTCTAGTTAGATATTTTCTTATAAATTTAACATTCTTTACTTACAGTTTCACGATGTTCTTTTTTATTCATTGAAAAACCTTCTTCTAAATGTCTTCTCATTGTTTCTAATATTTCACCATGTCTTGCCATATCAGTAGATAGAATTAAACTTGTCATACCCTAATTAAAGAGATTAAAAATAAGTGAATACCATATATATATGCTGACTATTTTGGATAAGCTTAACTGTTAGAAGGAACCAGTCAAACTTGGTGGAAGTGTCTTCAATGTTATAGCGGAACACTCAAACGAACATGATGATTATTGTTGGGGTGATCCAGAAAATTTCTTGCAATAGACATGATAAGCTCAGGCCAACTCCGTGGTCCAGAGGTTAAGCGCCCGCACGAGAGACTGACAGGTCCTGGGTTCAAATCCCGTGGATGAGAAACTGCTGAGAAGTCCCAAAATAGAACGAAACAGCTGCTCTGTGCTTTCAGGTTTTTTATTGTGGTCTAGCTTCGATTGATTCATGATTTCAACTACAAAATTACTAAAATCTCCACAAAACTTTCTTTTGATTATCAAGTGTATCATTTGTAGTAACTAACCAAATGATGAATTATCGAATAAACCGATGGCTGTAGTAAATATCGTGATAATTAATTGAGCATATAACTATTTTGTTGACTAATTAAACAAAATCTTTAAACGATGAGGTAGGGCTTATCACTTTCTTTGAAACCGATTGGCCGCTGACACGGAATCAAATCTCAATATATTCTTTTCTCAAAACCTTTATTTGAATTTATCAACTGGTATGTAGGCACCAATTCGCATACGTTGAAAGAACAGAGAGAGGGGGGGGGTAACTGTTCTAATTTCCGAGCAAGCACAGAAGAATTCGTCATTGAAGAGTGCTAGTGCCTTCAACAGTGCAATAGATCGATATCTAATAGACAGCGGGTACATCATTTAAGATAACCATCAGACGAAGAATATATAACTTGCTTACGTTTCACTGAAGCAGTTGCGATTAAAAAAATCAGGTATAGTCGATGTATTCAGCAAGAGTCAGTTGTTAGTTTATCCCTACCTTAGTAAGTTTAAAATTTTGATTAAAACTTTTCCATTCATTATTATTGTAGGGGCAGTGAAATGTCACTAAGCTCTAGGCAAATCATCCGGGAGTTGGGTCACTGAATATCGAACAGATCATCGATCCCTGTTAAAGTCAAGGACAACAAAACGCGCATCAGTTAATCATACGCCATAGACTGTTTCATGTGGTGGTGGTTTCAATAAAATCTCTGTAATCATTCTTAATAATATATTTACGTAATCAAGCTCTTTGTTTTATACAATCTTCAAAGCAGACATAGTACTTTAATACGTCGAATGGGATAATCCACGTTAGATGCTGACCGCGAAGTGTGACTTTGAAGTCAGACCTGTCCCTAAATTATTTTTAGTAGTACAATATGTTCCATCATTATTGATATTATTTTGTTATCTAGTCTTCGCTTTATTAAGTGTTAATTCATCCGCATCACAAAAGTATTTGTACTGCGGATCATAACCAGAAACGTATTCGATGAGGTTCTTCTGTCCTACTTCAGTGTAATTGATTGAATCTACTGCATCCCAATGGTGATGCTTAAACTAAGACACAAATCATGTATCCATTGGTTTTGATGCAAGGGCTCCACTGACTAGGTTATTAGTTTAAAATTGCCGAAAACAGCTATAATGTTGATTATTGCATATAAGAGTTTATATTTTCCCTAATCTGGATATTCAAAACTGAATTTAATCAACTTCTATTGTTAGTCTCCGCGTAACCATTGAGCAGGATGTTCTTCTAAGTGATGATAGGATTCTACTGTAAATTGCAATTCATATATGTAATCAGTTAGTAGCTGCAGACATTATCGAGGAAATCAGCTCCAGATGCATGTATACCAAAAAAAACTGATCGAGTATATGATTGAGTTTAAATCATTAACCACACATCAGTTATCAACCAATTAATATCAAAAACATAATATAAACAAGGTCAAGTCACTTAGACTAGTCTCTACAGTGGTACTTGGTTGATGAATTTCAGTCAGGATCGAGAATTGATGAGACGAAACCCCGGCAACTACTCAATGATCAATCAGTGTAAAATATCTCCATCTCATATTAGGTTAGTTCTAATACGAAAATATAAACATATCTGGTGGTGAATATCTTCAAAGTTAATACCAGAATGAATGATCAGAAAGAACAGTAAATCATACCTACATAGCTGAAAGCGTGAGTCAATTGAAGCTAGACCACCATGGAAAAAACCTAGGAGCACTAGACGGCCGTTTCGTTCTATTATGGGATTCCTCAGCGGCGCGCATCCACGATCTCGCACTCGCGAGATGCGAAACCCATGACTTACTAGTCACGAGCCACAGCCCTTAACCGATAGACCACTGAGCTGGTCGGCATCCAACGGTGTTAATGTCAAACTTCAACTAATTCACGAAGTTGAGCAACCGTTCATCAACTGTCTACAGTCAGTTGATATCTCACGACAGACGTCGTTTGAACTCCACTGTTCACTGATTCTCACTAGAACTCCTGGATGTACTTATCGAAGTCAGTCACTAAAGAGCATATGATTATATTAATTATCAGAAGGGGTTTTGTAGGGATTTAGTATTTTGGTTTAGCTTCAATTGACTCACGCTTTCAACTATGAAAATACTAAATCTCCACAAAACCCCTTCTGATTAATTGTACTTAGTTTGAATGTATCCTTTATCCTCAAAAGTACTTCGTTTTGGGTGTATTAAAGATTTCAAAGCTTCACTTAGTATTTCAAACATAGATCAAAGTAGGTTCATGTTTTCTTGATGACGCCCTTTTATGTTTAAAAGAGACGAAACATAAATGTTCAATGAATTGTTAAAACAATCTCAGCATTGCTCACTCATGACTCTGTACTGAATTAAACCCGAAAAATCTTCAGAACTAGGAATGAACCTGATAAGTTAAGTTGACTAAATTAGAATTGAATTCATTTAGTTTTGTTTGTTTGAATCTTCCCATTGATGTGTTAGGACTGTAACTGGTCAGTCTCGAATTGGCGTATGTGCATACTGTGCGTATTGCCTTGATATAGCCTTAATTCACAAGTATTATAAGCAAAGATGGATAGTGACAAGCAGTGGAATCCAGGACGTGGGTTTCGCCCTATTTGGGTCTCGTCAGTTGGATGTACCTGCATCTCAGAGTTGATGTTCACTTTGGGACTCGAACCCAGTACCTTTCGCTTCAAATGTGGTGTGGTCTACTTATATCTATATAAGTAGTATATGGTGTGGGTCAGACATAGAATGTATTTTCGCAGAAGACCGATGAGGAAAGAACTGAAAATGCATGAGCAATGGAATAAGAGAAGAAACAGTGAAGATTGAAACAATTGCTTGTTAATTTGCAAATTGACTGTTCATTGCTTGGTAATCAGAATTTACTGAGATAGTCTGTAATCTTTGCTTAAATACATTCAATTGTCCCCAACTAGCGTTCTGTTCACTACACAAACGCTATTGCATTATCCACTTGGCCACTGAGTCCTGATAGGATTGGATTGTTCGAATTTCTTATTTCAGTCAACTGACGATATTGTATGATAATAAACCAATATCATCGAGGATAGCTACCTCAATCTTGACCTGGCTAAACGTTGCCAATTAAAAGTTCCCATAAGAAGATAGAGAAAACATCTCACTATCATCTATAGATTAAATCGTACCCTTCAAAACATTTGAATAATAATATAATTGGAGTTCATTAATGATTTGCTCGAAGATCTGTTCTCTTATTTCTATCGTGAAGTTGTTACTACTGTAGTTCAGTCAGGTTAGGATTGAGACAGTTGTTATTGGTTGTTGTTGTTGTTGTTGGTCCATATCACCCGTTAATTAGAGTTAAAAACGTGAATCAGTAAATGTCAACTGAGTACAACACACGTCAAGAGACCAGAAGATTCTAACCTGGTCCTTGATAAAGTCATAGTTGTACATAGTTGGAAGGATCCACATTGGAATGAAAAAACTATCTAGTGTTCTTTGTTGTATACTATTGTTGGGGATGTCAAATCCCCAGAACTTACTTGGTAAGTGGCTTAATTTTGTAATTTCATTTTGAAAATTTGAATTTCATTGTTTTCGCACCAAAAGCGCTTTTTACACCTTAGAGTCGAATTTTCCACTTGTAAAATATCTTAAATGCTATTGGTCCGTTGTATCTTTGAGTGTGATGTTTTGTGATGCTGCCCAATGACAATTTATCGCTGTATATATACGTTTGAGTTTTTCCCCTTATGATTTGCTTGTACTCGGCTGCTTACGGAAATTATATATTCCCCTACTTCGCCTAGGACTTCTTCATCTAGTTAGCGGGGTCTGGAACAACGGGATTAGATTAGCCTATCGTGTCACTGTGTCATTGACCTTCGTTCGTTTACCGCGAAAATCGAATTAGTTCAGGCATATCAACTATCAATAAACAACATAATATTCATATTTTCTTATGTTATCATTATCATTATCATAACATTCTCTTAATCATTCTTATACTAAATGCACTGACCTGTCTTATGCGACGGAATACTTCTTGATTAACATTTGCAAAAATGTTTAATTCAGGATGATTTAGTATACTGAATGCAACAGCACAATGATGATTTTCCAATGGTGATATATCATTATATCGTATGGCCAATTCAGTTCTTGCATTTATTTGATAACTAGTTAAAACAAAATTATAGTTAAATATTGGTTAATGTACAAAAGATAATGAGAAGGAAATACAATGAAAATGTTTATAGGCAAAGTTGGATAGTGGCTAGCAATGGAATCCAGGACGCGCGTTTTGTACTATTTTGGGACTCGTCAGCTGGATTTACCTGCATCTCAGAGTTGATGTTCACTCTGGAAGTAACTCGAACCCAGTACTTTTCGCTTCAAACAAACAATACTAAGTAAATTTAAACTTCACCCCATTTCAAAAGCATGTGACTATCAGGACTCAGTAGCTGAATGGATAACGCGATGACGTGTGAAGCGACCGGTACTGGGTTCAAATCTGAGATGTAGGTACATCTAGATGACGAGTCTCAAAATAGGACGCGACGCGCGTCCTGGATTCCACTGCTAACCTCTATCTATCTTAGCTTATAACGCTTGTGAATTAAGACTAAATGGAGGCAATACGCACAGTATGCATATATGGCAATTCGAGACTGACCAGTTGCAGTCCTAACACATCGATGGGAAGATTTAAAAAAAGAATACTAAATGAAATAAAATCGTTTTCTCTTTAAAAAACAAACAATCGGAACTATTCATCCAAAATAGAAAAGTTTTACTTTCGTTTCTCACGTTGATTGACCTATTAACCCAATAGATTTTTCTAATGCAAAATGTTCCAGGAAGGCTGATGTGAACACCTCCTTTCCCCCTTATATTTTTACAGGTAAAGTTGCTTTATATTTAATCTGTTCTTATAAATTTGAGAAATTTCCTAAGTTCTACAATCATTAGTTGTTGTATATTGGTTAATCGTCTTAGTATGAAACTGCTCATTAGTGTTCATACACGAGGAGCCGTGACTAGTAGAGTTGAATCAGTGTTGGGTGTGAGACAGTTATTCACACGATACAATGAATGAAGAGTTGAGCAAGATCATGGATTGATTGAAGTTGGATGTTAACATCATCGGATGCTAACTTACTGGTCTAGAGGTTAAGCGTTTGTGCACGAAACTGAATCTCTTGGGTTCAATTATTGCTTGTGGGATTGCGAATACATACTGCTGAGGTTTGTCACACTAGAACGAAACGGTCATTCATTGTTTCCAGGTTTTTAATAGGGTTCTAGCTTAGATCGACTCATGAGTTCAACTGTTAATATATATAATGTAAAACAATGAAATAATACTCATCAATTAGTGGCGGTACGCAATAACTTTTCACTTTCACGAACTAACAACAATGGTTGTTTAAGCTTCATTCGAATACAAAGCTTAAATTTGTAAACACGGATTCCGGTAAGTCCGTGATTAAACAAGAGATCTTATAAATTATTTTATATACTTAATGAGTTATCTTTTTATGTTTATTTTCTACTCACATACGTGGGTTGGAGAATGCTGGTCGTCGGCATATGCTCCATTGGGAGTAACAGGCGTAATTACGTAAGTAAGTCTACCCACATACAATACTTGATGTACTGCTTCTAGTAAACAGTAAACTACAGTCAAGAGGATTATATACCATAGACTGAACATGACAATATACTGTATTCTAGTTATTCCAATAATTACAAACAAAGTATAATTAATAATAAATCTATTTTTGTTATATTCCAATAAGTAGAAAAATTGTATTTCTGATGTTTCGTGACTTAATGTAGATAACTTCTTCAGAGTAAATTAATGATCGAAATAGATTTAACACAAGTGTAAATAGTGCAAAGTTGTGTCACAAGGCAAGCCCTGAAGGCCAAATGAAAAGAGGAAGACCAAGGAACACATTATGCTGAGAAATGGAGATAGACATGAGAAGAATGAACAACAATTGGATAGAACTAGAAAGGAAGACCCAGGACAGGTTGAGTGGGTTTGAGAATGCTGGTCGGCGGCCTATTCTCCATTGTGAGTAACAGACGTAAGCAAGTAGTTAAATAGTACAAACGAACTATTTGAACTTGTGTTAATTTGAATCGATCATTTATTTACTCTGAAGAAGTAGATTACATTAAGTCACGAAACATCAGAAATACAATTTTCCTACTCGTTAGGACTTCAAAAAAAGTTTTTTCTCACTCTTACGTATGCTATGATAATATGTTAGTACGGTAAAGAGACTAGTCACGTTATGTCGGATACTGGATTCACAACCCAGAATAGAGAACTAGGTTAACACCGGATAATACTTTATTCGATGCGACTACAAGCAGTCAAACTGAGTTAGTCAATGGTAGAAATCGATGAAAGCTAAGGGAATCACATAATTAATAGTCCGTAGACTGTGACTGTTTTTCCACTCTCAACAATCAATCATATTTCACTTTCACAACCATACATCAGTTCCAAATATAGTTACTGATAGTTTTCTGTATAAAACCTTTGATTCTATAACTTTATACCATGAAATAATGTTCTTTCATTTACGTATTTCTAAGTTCATAATTGTTGAATCTGGCAAGAAAATCATCAGAGACTGTTATATTTTGAGTAAACTCATCGTTTTGAAATGATTTTCAATACTGATCAAATAAATCATTCATCAAACAAGTTACTTAAGCTCACTTGAATCTTCTCTGAAGATTTCTTACGTCAACTATCTGAATTACCCTAAAGATGATAGTGTTGTATCTCGTCGAGAATGGTAACTTTGAGAACTATCTATGGTCCAATATGATATGTATATTTCTTATTGTATAATTGTTAAATAACTAAACTATTCGTATCTCTCTTATTATAAGCTTATTTTGACCTATAGACCATTATTATACGATTTACCATTGCTGAGTTATCCCTAGTCAATTAATTACTGTTCCCCCTATTCACAGCCACATTTGGGAAAATCATATACAAATGTTATTTTCTATTTTATAGTACGATGTGGTCTGTTTGTTTGGTATATAAACTCAATATGTTTGAGAATAATGATTCATATTGCAGAGGCTATTATTGGTGTTCTGGACTTAACTGGCTGGTCTAGGCAGAAAGCAGGACTGTTAAGTACTCAAGACTGCTAATACGATTTAGTGTATCATTGCTCTGATCGATAAATCACTGCTCTCCAATTGACGGTCTCATCACTCATATATAATAACTAGGCACTCAAGCAATCGATATAACAGATAGACGTACGCTAAGATGATTACCCATAGAAGTTAGATCTTTTCAGATTATCTTGCCATAGATCTAGAGATGGGATAACTAATAATAACATTGGTCAACAGTCGACAGTATCATATATGTATCAATATTTAAACATGGTTAACAAATCCAAGATTTCATTTGACTCTCAGATGTTATCAATTAACAAGCGGCGAGACTATAATTTATGGATGACCTTTGAACGAATCTTAAGTGACCTTGAGAAATGTTAGCCAGTCAGTAAACAATCAGTATAGAGTAAAAATATACCATACAAAACCAAATAATTAAAGTGGATACACTTCTTTTATATGGTAGAGGAACTCATCCATCCATACGGTCTCTGGAACTATGATAAGGTCTTAAAAATTCTCTCAACCTCGACCACATAGCTTCATTCTTGTTTGTGTGTACTCCGATTGTGTAAGTTTATCATTTTTATTATGGATATGTTCCTAGAATACTCATACCGCTGAACAGTCGAAGCTTCAGTAACATCTACGATTATTGCAACCAATATTAATGGTACTTTTATTATACAGTTCGCGACAATTATTATAATATGCCTTAGTCTCAATCTGGATCGAGTGATAAAAGGTTCCTATTGTAGCAAACGTCTTCCTTCAACATATATTACATCGAAGGACAACATCACGGTAGTCTGTACAAAGTCTACAAGTCATTTAATACTCGTAATTACAAATACAGTAATTTCTTAGTAGTTTCATTTGTTGTAGCCACATCATTGTCAAGTCTTCTCTAAAATTCTCTGTGAACCGATCGTACATGATCATCAGGTACTGAAATCGGCTCAGTAACCTTGAAATCTTTCAAATGCTTCTGATTGACTCGTCCATATATTATAGTCTCGTCTAACAAGCTACTTCAAATAGAAATCAAAAATTATTACAAAACGACAATAAAAAAAAACTTTCTTAATTCTTACGAGTTACTATATCCTGGATGATCTAAATCATGACATACGGCGGCAGTCAATAAGATGCCTAATTCTTCACGTGAAAAATCATTATTCAATCCACATAGATATAATATTCCATACATCATTTGTGCAACACAAAAACAATGTCGAAAATTATGAAATGGATTATTACGATAATTTGCTTGTATAGATAACTGAAAATGAAGAAATGAAATAAGTCCATAAAGAAAAAAAATTATGGTAGGAATATGAAAAGAATTTCAAATCGAATTAGAAAACAAAAATTGGGATAAGTAATTGATTCTTTGTGAAAAATTAAGATGAGTAGGGGTTTTGGTGGAGATTTCAGTATTTTCATAGTTGAAATCTTGAGTCAATTCAAGTTAGATCATTAGGGAAAACCTGAAAGCACTTGATGGCTGTTTCGTTTTATTGTGGATCTCCTCAGCAGTGTGAATCCACGATCTTGCCTCGCGAGAATCGAACCCAAGATATTACCACAATCGGATGCCGGCTCAGTGGTCTGTCGGTTAAGTTCTCTGGTGCTGAAGAATCCCACAATAAGACGAAACGAATGTCCAGTGCTTCCAGATTTTCTATGGTTGTCTAGCTTCAATTGACACATGCTTTCAACTATGAAAAAATTAAGATCGTTTGATCAATTTTCTACTGAATCTTTTTAACTACTTTTAATGAGTGTTAGTAGTAATAATTTGAAATTGATATACAGAATATTTTGGCATCATGAATTGATGTGGAAATATTTTGAAAAGTATTCAGGAACAAGACTTTCAAGTCTTTTTTTTATCGTGTAGTGATATATGGAGAGAAACCTCTGACAAATTAGAAAGTTGTCGACGATTGTTTTGGTTCTCTGAAGGAGTATGTAATCATCTGAGCATTCGAATGAATCTATCCCAGTTGACCTTGAAGTCATTGAAAACTTGAATGAGTAACTAGATTTGAATTGAAACATTTATACCCTTAACTTTATTTCCTAATTATTACCAAGTTTTATCGGTGATAACTGTCTTACTTTCGATATTGTTGAAGCTGTGACCAGTGAGGAACGTCGTTTAATTTCCATCTGTGTCATCGTCTTCTTCAAAAGAAACTTTCTCTTTAAAATGAAAAAGTTGTATATTTCAGTTTTTCTAAATGGTTGACATTACATTATCCTATGTTTTAATGGTATATGAAGCGAAATTATAAAGTAGATTATCTCAAATTGTTATAATACAATCGTTGTACTTAATTTGTTGCTATCTATGATGTGGAATAATCTCATAAAGTTGACAGATTGTTGTTGAATGGGATAATCTATCAAGAATACCGCACTATAAAGCTATTCTCAATAGTTAAATAACATCGAAAAGAGAATCATCTCTGAGACCAGGAATTATTCAACAACTGCAGGTACAACCATCCTACGAGTCCGAAGTGAGACGGAATACATGTTCTAAATTTGAAACTTTGCGGACACGAAATAACATGGGACTTAGGCTAGGATCTTCATATCCCATAGAAACCATTATACTTACTGACTTAGAATCCAGTCGTTTGAAGGTATTATATCAACCCTCCTACAATTAATTCTGCTTACGGGTAGTTTTGTCGATCCCTTCAATTAACTTACTTAGCAGACAGTATTATTTGAACAGTAACAATTTATTTATTCTTATGTATTATTATGATCACCATCATGTCTATGTAAACATGTATGCTTGAACCTTATTAATTGTCTTCGCCTTGCTTTACTTTGCCCCGCCTCAATTCGATCTGACTATAAATACATACCTGTATTTGCTCGCTCTCAAACATCGGCCTCTGTCCTCACACTTGCTCGATGTGCTAGTAACGTTGTTGCCTCTGAGGATACAAAGAGTCAGAACAAAATATCTGTTTGAACTTTGATCATTATTTTCAACATGAATTGTCTTTTATACGTAAGTTTTGAGGTATTTTTCTACTGAATAAGCTTCTTTGGAAGATTTCCTAAAGATTTTTTTAGTCATCATACTACTAATCTATCAGGACTCAGTGGACGAGTGGATAACGCGATGGCGTTTGAAGCGAAAGGTACTGGGTTCAAGTCCCAAAATGAACAGCAACTCTGAGATGCAGGTACATCCAGCTGACGAGTCCTAAATGGGATGAAACGCGCGTCAAACTGGATTTCACTGCTAGTCACTATCCATCTATGCTTACCATACTTGTGAATTCAGGCTTTATCGAGGCACATATAGCCATAAGAGACTGATTAGTTGCAGTTCTAAGCACCAATGGGAAGGTCCAAACAAACAATACTAAGTAAATTATCATACTACTTAGTTAATTTTAATCAAATAGAACTTACCAACCAACGTTTCAATGTTAATGGATTAATATTGAATTCTGATACTACACCTAATTCGTTATACATGTGTTCCAGTAGAGCTAACATCTTTGAAAAAAAAACAAGGATCAAACGAGAAAAACATTGAATAATCAAACTAACTTCTAAACTCTACTATCCACTGTACTCTGGCGCTGAGGAGTCTCACAATGGGACGAAACAGCCATCCAGTGCTTCCAGGTTTCCTTTGGTGGTCTAGCTTCAATTGACTGATGTTTTCAAGTAGGAAAAACGTTTATGTTATAAATCTATGTTATCTGATAGTGAAAGGATGCTAAACTTGGAAATAATTTAGTAAAATGATGGGACGATAATGAATGGGCTGGCCAATCAGATTTAAGATTAAATGTTTTGAATCTTGGTTCAATATTCATCCATTCATATGACTAAATAGTACTTCATCAAAATAGTTGATGTGAGTTCGGGATAAATACCCACAATTTAACAACAGTCCCTAAGTTTTAACTTTAATTAATAATTCCAATTCACGATTGATTGATCAATGGGTGGTGATCAATGCCATGCATGCCAAGTCCTGCTTAGTGCTAATCGAATGCTATCGATCAAGTTGCAATGTGGCCACTAGTCTGGGCTCGAGATTGCGTGCACTTTGTTGAGATAAGATGATGGTTGGAGGTGGTCAACAGAAAACCCTGGACCTTGGTTTCGTGCTACTTGGCACTCGTCGGCAAGGTGTGCCTGTAATAATTCCAATCCTTTACGCCATTTTGTGACCCTGTTTCATTCCTAGAAGTTAGCCGAATTTTCCTAAGGTCACTATACTTTTACCCTATTGTTGCATAGAAAACACAGTCTTATCATTTGAATTGATGTACTACCTAGAAACTGATAGTAGAAACCTGTAATATTTGGAATTATTGGTATTATTTGTTCTACTTCAATTTCGAAGTTGAAAGATCAATCATGATTAATTCACGGACAGATACCTTATTTAACTCGTTAGTCTACTTACTCGTTTGTAAGTAGTATAAATATACCAAAGGACTTATAACGTCTCTCATGATTGGAGTTCAGTATAATCTAAATATGACGATTAAAGCTGTAATAATATTAAATTATACATCATAACTTAGTCCGTAATTATATTATTACTTCGAAAGATATAAATTGGTATACAGACAGTCGTTGAAAAGAGACAGTTTCACTTCCTCTGAATTGACCTAACTTTAAAATGTGATATATATATATGGGCACAAGTTATGCTTATATGTTTTGTAAACGTTGAAACAAGAGTCAATCAACTAACACAACTGAATTTCACCAGTTGAACAAGATTTGCTTCGTTCATGATTTGAATAACTTTAGCAATTAACGCAGTATAAAGATATTGTCATCTCGTACCGGAGAATTATTGGTAACAAAAAGTGATCGATATTGATATCATTCTTGTTCGAACCTAAGGAGTGAGCAATGACTTCTGGGTATTACAAATATCCATCAAATGTTAAGTTGAACTTTTTCCTCTCAATTCAATAGATGAGGTTTCAAATGATTTATATTTTTCTTTTGTTAGGATTCAAGTTATTAACAGTTTCGTCTTTCAGCTTATTAGATTCTTGAATAAAAAGACATCATTGAATATATTTCATATTAGTGTAGCTGTAAATCAAAATCAATAGCTTCTTAAGTGTTTGACATTGGATGCTGACCACATTAGTTTAAGTGGAATTGTTTAACTAAAGGCGTTCGGTCATGAATCCGCGCCAAATCACGTTATAGGTCAGCGTGGGAAACATCTCCTACGTTCACTAGCCAGATAAGATCAACCGCTTCTCGATATATTGATAACACATCAATAAAATATATCTTTCCAACCTCTTCGCATCTGACTTTTGATTTTAACTAAGTGGGGGGAAGATTCGAGTATAAAAGGTGTTACTGGTTAATAGTTGTCAAACTACAATACTGGTGGTATCTTCATTAGTTTATAATGAAGTTTACCATTGAATGCTCATTTAATTTTTTTTTTATAATTCTGAACAGAATGAAGTAATTCTGATCTATAAACAATAACGGTTATATAGTTGATAGAAATAAGTCATTTAAAATTATTTATCATATTTTGAATAGTTTTTCTTATTGGATTTGATCTCTTCTCTTATACATAGTAGAAGCTATAGGAATTCCATCCAACAATCCAAGCCTTTGTGTTCATTAGAAATTTGTAACACTCTTATCTCTCCCTTGGCTCAATATAAATAAGCGATGCTTCAGACGGATCTATAATCAAACACTAATAATGGAAACTCGACTAGCGCCAACTGCTGGTGAAAACTAAATTTAAATACACCCAGTTTGGCGGCCTGTTTAAACATCTGGGCTATCTGTTCCGGTGAGTTTCTGAAAAGTGTAAAACCTTTCGCTGTAAAAGGTTACAGAAGGCCTAATCAGAGATATCGTGGTTGCTGGCAATACACAGCGACAAGAATGTAAATTATCCAGATGTCGATTGACTGGGCTGTTAAGATCTAACTGGCGATCACTCAATATTCATCGTCAGGAAGGACGAAGAAGTAAGAAATGGAAATTTGTTGAAGTACTTTGTGCTGAGAATTCTATATTGTACCAAAAATATAATATTGAATAAAGCTAATAATAATAATAATCACAAACAAACAGTATATCAAAATAAAATATTGTCTGTGATATATCCTAATGATGATCAAAGTATGGATAACTTCTCAGATCTCTTAATAGACTATTATTCTATATATATGTATTCTTATTATATAACTGTTCAGCAACTAGATTATGTATATCTATATTCATCTTATTATAAGCTTCATTTTGACCTATGGATTATTATTATACGAATTACTGTTCCTAAGTTATGTTCAGTTTATTGATTATTGTCTCCCATATTCACAGCCACATTTGGCTTGATATTGTACAAATATTATTTTCTATTTTATGATGCCATGTTGTCTGTCTGTCTGTCTGGTATATAAACCGAGTATGCTTGAGATAAACGATTCGCATAATAGAAGCTGTCATTGGTGTTCTGGACTCAAGTTGAAGGGCTAGGATAAGGATTGTAGGCTACTCATACTGGTCGAACTTCATTGGTTTGGCACAGTTCTAAGATTGGAAAAGTTGTATTTCAATTGGTGAATAATTCACGTATTAAAAAACCGGACTTAAAATTACAACAGTTTATTAAAAGTAAATAATTGGTTTTAATGACAAAAATAACACACATGTGGCTTAGAATATAGAGTTTAGAATTTAGAACTAAGCTTAGTGTTAAGATTAAGATGTAGTACTTAGGATTTAGGGTGAACATAGTTGAACTACAAAACTCAATCCTAAAATTCACTTTTTAACTCTTAATCATTATCTCAATGATTAAACTGTGTTGCTCTATTGTTATAAGTAATTTATTATTATACTTTCCATTTTGATTGGCTAAGAGACTTGTTCTTAATTGGCTTGCATTTAAGCCTAGGGTTAAGATTGAGATGTAGTACTTAAGATTGAGGTTGAACATAAGTGAACCATAAAATGCAATCTCAATCTTAAATAATAATCATCCTAAAATCCACGTTTTAACTCTTAATCATTATCTCAATGACTAAACTGTGTTGCTCTAACATTATTATAGGTCACTTATTCATAATTTCTTTTCTGATTGGTTGACTAAGAGCCTTAATCCTGATTGGCTTACATCTAGACATTTACTTTACCTAAAATATTTAGACATAATATATACATATATCTTATTTACAGTATTCTTACTTCATTCGGTTCCCAATGCCAAATATCAAATGTTGGTTTTTTCAAAAAATCAATAGTTGATTGTGTTAATGTATACTGAACCAAAAAAAGTTGAATAAAGTAATCATAAAAGGGTTGGATATTACAATGTAGTTCAATAATAATAAAAGTGATAATAAACCATTAATAGCTAGAATATATTAGTAACTAGAGTGATTTTATACTATACATTCAAGTAATTGTGAGGATGGTCCACAGGGGAAGTCGAGGAGGCTCTAGGAAGCTCAGAAGGAGCTCGACATGTTCCATCCAATCAGCTTTTGGAAGAATATTCCAGAATTGCCACGTGGAGCTCCCCTATCGGACAATGCTGATAACTCCCTGTGTGCGGATTGGATAACTATAATGATGATTTTGTTTCTACTAAAAACTATAAATACCTGATAATTTTGTACCATATTCGACACTGATTTAGGGAATAATCTTCCTACTTACCAGTCTTTGTCTTTTCTTTTTTGCGACGTTGCGGGTTCTATCGTTCAAGTAGTCAAGTAGTTCACGGCATATTAAGAATCAAGGCTCTAGATATAACAGTAATCCTTAGCAATATGGATTCTGTCACAATGATGCATAATTTCAGGTTCTCATATGATATTAACGCAATGAGAAGAAATTATTTAAGTGTTATATCTCGAAGACAATTATGAAAGGTAACTTTTGAGGACTATTTATGGACCAATATTATGCATATATTACTTATCATTTATATCGCTATGTAAAGAAGCTATTCATATCCATGATCCTCTTAGTATAAGCTTTATTTTCACTTATAGACTATTATTATATGATTTACCACTCTTGAGTTATCCTCAGTCTATTAATTATTGTTCCTTCAAACCAAGAGTGATGAACTGGTGACTTTATGATTAAAACACTTGATTTCCAACCAGTAGGCCCTAGGTTCGAATCCCATTCCATCTGTTACGATTTCACCAGCAAGGTATTATCAATAGCTTATATAGAGCTGTGTGACACAATGTTGAATTCACAAACATATACTCAGTTAACGAGTTATATTAGTTAGTGATGTCGTGTCCAGATAAGAACAATGAATGATAACTTTGGGATCCATTTATGAACAAATATTATGCGTATATTTTTATCGTATAATGGTTAAATAATTAAACTATTCATATTCTTGTCTATCTTATTATGGGCTTTATTTTGGCTCACAGACTATTACTGTACGATTTACCATTCCTAAGTTATCCCCAGTCAATTAATTACTGTTTCCCTTATTGACAGCCACATTTGGCTAAATCTTGTACAAATGTTGTTTCCTATTTTATCGTACCATGTGGTCTGTCTGGTTGGTATATAAAGCCAGTATGTTTGAAATAAATGATTCGTACCGCAGACGGTGAGACTGGTGTTCTGTACTTAGCTGGCTGGGCTAAGTAGAAAGCAGAACCGATAAGTACTTTAAACTGCTCGTACGGGTTTCGCGCGTCATTGGCGCGATCAATAGTTCACTGCTCTTTAATTGGCGGCATCGTCACATTATACATTAACAGGGCATTCACTCGACCACAAGATATAACATTAGTACTCATACTAAGGAAAATGAAGTAGTGAGATTATCACAGATAATAAAAAAGAATTACGATAAATGAAGTATATGATTCGATAAGAATGAATGAGTACGCAGAATAAAAGAAGTGAAATAATTTTGAAAACTCCAAATCTGAAGAAATAGAGTAAATTCATCGAAATCATTGAAACTAATTGTCAGCTGAAAATGGTTATCACGTGGGCTTTGATCAGGTAATCAATATTTATTAATATGACTCAAGTCAATAGTTAGTAACTTCCTGGTACCCAGATACCCATCACCGAATAATAGTAAAATCTGAATATCTTCTGTTTTTTTTTTATAGGATATATTTCGTCGTCATAAATTCATGCAGAACGAACAATTGCATAATATATTCACTTTTTCGTTGCTAAGTGGATTCCACAACTGATACAAGTTAGAAAACGTTATTGAAATGAATACAGTTTGACAAATTGATATTCTCACAGTTGAAATCATGAGTCAATTGAAGCTAGACCACCATCGAAAACCTGGAAGCACTGGACGGCCGTTGATATTCGGTTACATAGTGGTCATTAGGATAATAATTAAATGCTATTTATGCTTTTTAAAAAAATAGTCGTTATTTAATCTTATACTAAAACAATTAATCATTATTCTGATGATTACTTCCATTACCTAGTTAACTACTTCATCTATTAGAAATAAATTTGCTATAATCATATAATTACTGGATTGGGCACACTTTGAGAAAATCACCCAATTGTGTCACAAGACAAGCCCTCACATGGAATCCTGAAGGTCAAAGAAGAAGAGGAAGACCAAAGAACACATTACGCCGAGAAACAGAGACAGACATGAGAAGAATGATTAAGAACTGGATAGAACTAGAAAAGAAGGCCCAGGACAGAGTGGGTTGGAGAAAGCTGGCCGGCGGCCTATGCTGCATTGGGAGTAACAGGTGAAAGTAAGTAGGTAGGTATATAATTACTACTTATCTATTTACATAACTTTGTGTGTAGGCCTGTATATGATGTTAACCTAACGGGTTAAGATATTTGTAGCCTTAGTGTTTTTTGGATCTTTCTAGCTACAATAGATAGACACTTATATGGTTCCTTAAAAGTGTCAATAACTTGTTTTATTCGGATTTATTTACATTATCTGTTATGTTAGTGGATTATGTATAGTCACTGTCACGATTTGATCAGATCACTGACCACATGTTTTAAAATCATAGTATAGTTTGGTGTTAACTAGGTAAAGATAGTCTACTGAAAGCTCTGAATAACATTTTTGTGATAGTTAACACTATCCAACGCGGCACATATGATAATCTTAGACTTACTGACTTACGCCTGTTAGCCCTCGTGGAGAAGCATAGGCCGCACACCAACATTCTCCATCCAACCCTGTCTTGGGAAATCTTTTCAAGTTCTTTCCAGTTAACATTCATCCTCTTTATATCTACTTCTATCTCCCGGCGTATTGTGTTCATTGGCCATAATCTTAGAAGGATTCTAAAACTGTCTTCATTGCTTAACAGTAAACTAACTTAAGCATCAACAACTTCCTCCATGACCTATTCAATTGCATTAATCAGTAGCTGGTCCGTGAACTATGTTGTATTGGTAACAACTCAATGTTGACTACCTTCTAGTGATCATGTAAAAATGGGCCACTAGTTCAAGTGATGGTATATCTCAGTGAGCTTTATTTAACGTTAAGTAATGAGATTTGATGAAATAGAAAGAATAGATTCATGCTATTCAACTTCATGTATTATTTTAGCTAAATTCATACATTCTAAATCTGTATTAATTGTTTGGACTGTGGTGGCTGGTACTATGTTAAACCCATATAGGTCATTCTAGCTTCTGGATAGATCGATTTATACATTCGTCTCAAACCACATTTTGACCTTGTTGATGATTCACTTATTAAACTTGACTGTTTTCGTTTGATCGTATGAGTATTAATTGCTTGCCCTATTCATTACGTGTATGTAACTTATTTTTGGTCAGACTATAAATGTTGAGTTACGCTTGGTCAAATAAAGTTGGCTCACTCGCCTTCGAATCGCTTCGCCTTCCATTTTTCCACCGACATCCACTTCGCTTTTCTCTCTCTTTTTCGCTTTGTTCACTTCGTTACTCTGATCGTCTGTATGGATAAGCGAAGGCATGAAATATACGTATTAAAAGTTCATTCTCGTATTTTGCCGATTTTATTGCGTTATTCTTTGACGCGAATTAAGTCGACAGTGATATACGAGGGTTGTTGGTGGGTTTATTTCATTAACAATCATTATATAATCTGACTGAAGTCAGATACAGAGCTAATAAAGGACCTTCAGAGTTTATCTAATATTGTAATGCATCTCCTAAACTGTGTTTTAGACATAAGTAATAAATAGGTATGATTTGTCACAGGGTGATTCTATTAAAGTTTCACTGGAAACTAAGGAACACTGGAAAGCTGTTTCGTCCTAGTATGGAATCCATCAGCACATTTCACGTGCGCGGCATGTTGGAAGTGAGGCAGTTGCCACCAATGTCTTTGGATGATTAATGGTAGACTTATGTTATTCAACTCCAACTCATTAATTCTAAAAACTGGGCGTTTGTTAGAAGACCTGAATTTTCTGCGTTCAATCCGGTTATGGACTATCATAATCCAAATTGAAAACTTGATGAAAATTTACTAGTTTTCAATATGACGAGATTAAATCAGTACCCTTAAGAAAAAAACTTCAGGAAATAGTCCGTTACGTTTAGTGATAAGAACGTTTCATAGTTTACATCAAAAAATAATCATAATTAAATTCAGAATCTTTAGGCCTCAAGTGGAGCACATCTCTGAGGAGCCCTATGCAAGGACGAAACAGATCTTTGATGCTCCTTGGTTTTCAGTAATATCTAAGCTAAATTCATTTGTAAGCAGTATCATCCGAAAGTTTAATCAATCTATATGAAAATGCTTTAAACAGAATATGTGATCGGTAGTTCAGTTATTTTATTTTTCTTCTGGTCAACGTTTTTTAGCGAGTTAGTTTTTTCTACGGGTCAGACATATATTAAAGAAATCACCAAACTGCATCACGAGGCAAACGCTAACTTAGAATCTGGAAGGGAAGCGAAAGAGAGGAAGACCAAAGAACACATTATTTTTGGGAAATGGAAGCAGATATGAAAAAGAAGAATTTTAACTGTAAAGAACTGGAAAGGATTGCCCAAGACAGAGTTGGATGGAGAATGTTGGTGTGCAGCCTATGCTCCTCCACGAGGGGTAACAGTCGTAAGTAAGTAAGTTCAGTTATTATTATTCAGTTTATAAAATGAAATTATTGTAACTAACCTTTTCAAAAATGGGTAAATTCTGTAATTCCAAAATTTTGACACCATCATTACTTAATCGTATATTCCCTAAATATGTACGTTCTGAACTGAAAATTATATTTTTGAATAATATAAAAAAACAATAATTAGTAACTGGATAAGAGGGTTGTTTTTGGAGATTTTCAGTCAATGGAAGCTAGACCACCATAGAAAACCTGGAAGCACTGGACTGCCGTTTCGTCCTATTGTGGGACTCCTCAGCAGTGCTCATCCACGATCCCACCTCGCAAGATTCGAAACCAGGACCTACCAGTCTGGCGCGAGAGATACTGATTATTAGAAATCAATAAATGAACATTTTGATAATGGTAAAATTGATGAACAACAAGGTTTCCAGAATAAAAGGAATTCATCAGTCTAGCTCATATGGACGAGTCAATCAGAAGCATTTGAAAGATTTCAAGGTTACTGAGCCGATTTCAGTACCTGATGATCATGTACGATCGGTTCACAGAGAATTTTAGAGAAGACTTGACAATGATGTGGCTACAACAAATGAAACTACTAAGAAATTGCTGTATTTGTAATTACGAGTATTAAATGACTTGTAGACTTTGTAC